AGCCGATCCAAACCTACGAGATGACGGTGAGCATGAAGGTCACCGAAGACATATCAAACAGAAATTTGAGCAATACGCCGAAACTCTGCGCAAGAAGCAGGGCAAAAAAAAGTTGTCGAATGAGGCTGGTGGCGACGGCGATGACTCCGGCAAGTCGAAGTACCTGCAGATGCCAGAAAAGGTGCATCGGGATTCAGAAAACGGTAAATTGTTGGTGACATGTCACCTCTTGTTTCTTTGATCGCGTTGATTTTTCATCGTCCCGTTTTTAAGCCTGCACTCAGCAACAGCTTGTGGCTATTGAGGCTCGTCTCCTGGCTTGGTTCTCTGAATTGCGAGCGCAGTCAACAGCGCCTGAACCAGCTGTTCTGCCAAGTAAGCCTCTCACAGTTAAGTGCCGAAAACTCAGATTCGTCTGTGATTCTCTCCAGGCATAAGATATTCATTCATTTTTTCAATAATTACTTGTAATGTAAATTCGTTCAGTTGTTCTTTCACTCGTGTTCAATGATTCATTTTGTATCATGTCTTTAAACAGACCAAACAAAATAATCGCCTCGGAGATAATGAGGTCGCGACTGACGAGCGAACGTATTTTTCTGCGTAAAACTACTGCTTGTAACTGATGAAGATCATTTCTCCATTTATTTCTTAGTCGTTTTGCCACCTTGGACAGCTAGATGTTGCGAATGGTCTTTCTCTCGTTAAATGTCTCTCTCTCTCACTCTCTCAGAGCAGTTGTCAATCCTGTTAGTCGGTCAAGGATCTCAACTAAATTTGAAACTGAACTACTGGAATGGAATCATGAAACAACCTCACTTTTCAGCAGAAACATCGACGAAAAAAATTATTTAATAAAAAAAAATCCATAATTAATTAAAGAAATAGAAATACAGCTACTGATACCTAGAAATCGGGGTTCCATTTTGTCACTTTTTCGTTTACGATCGTGGATGTTCTTTGGTTGAACATACTTTTGCTCAACCCATGTTTGAGACGCCGTACTGCGTCCTATGCACTGCAGACGCTTAAATATCATGGAGCCGTGGCCTGCTTAAATGGTCCCCCTACACTTCTAGAAGCAAGGAGCGGTGCACCAGAGCTGCTGATGTAAAGTGAGAAATTGACTTTTCTTTCTTTACACTGTGCATTCGCCGTTTCAATCCGGCATCACTGTTTGATGAGAAATACGAACTATTTGCGTGG